AAAAAAAACAAAAACAATAACGCCTCCTTTTTCTCAGATAATGGAGATGGCGTCGAAGGGAGTCAAACCGGTGACTTTGGAGCTCGGAGGCAAATCGCCTCTGATCATCTTTCAGGACAGCGATGTGGAGAATGCTGTGAGGGGCGCTCTCATGGCAAACTTCCTGTCCCAAGGCCAGGTACGGAGTCTCGCTTTCGAGTTACTGAAAAAGAACCTGGAAACGCACGACTCCTGATTTCCCCCCTCTGCGTTTCTATTTCCACTTTTGGTGGTATCTTTGCAGGTTTGCAGCAACGGCACGAGGGTCTTCGTGCAGAGGGAGATGGTGCCCGAATTTGTGGAGGAGGTGGTGAGGAGAACCAAGGCCATCGCAATAGGAGACCCTCTCTTAGAGAGCACCAGGATGGGAGCACTGGTCAGCCGGCCACACCTAGACAAAGTCCTGTCCTTTGTGGATCAAGCAAAAAAAGAGGTACATGGGTTCTGCTTCGGCAGAACAGTTCGTTTGTGGGAGCGTGTTTGACACCCTGCCATCTGTGACATAAGTTTTTTTCCGTGTTATCAGGGAGCCACGGTGCTGTGCGGAGGAGAACCTTTCGTGCCTTCGGATCCCAAACTCAGCGGCGGATACTACATGACGCCATGCGTCCTGGGTGAGTCGTCCATGCTTTCAGCGCGCGGCCCCCGGCGCTGCAGGTGGCCTTTCCCACATTCCCGAGTGGACCGGTGAGCGTTTTCCTTCCCGGTAGGCAACTGCACGGACGCCATGACCTGCGTAAGGGAGGAGATCTTCGGCCCGGTCATGTCGGTGCTGTCCTTTGAAACGGAGGAGGAGGTGCTGCGGCGAGCCAACGACACCACAATGGGCCTGGCCGCAGGCGTTTTCACCAGGTCGGTTCCCCATAAAAGCACGGCTACCGTCAAGCCAGCCGCTATTGAGTCAAACCTCTCGGAATAATCTACGTTTAAGTTTCAAGCGGCAAGCTAGCCGCTATCCATCTATATCTGTCTATCTAGATCGATATCTGTGCGAGCTTATGCAGTCCTTTAAATCTCCGAGAGTAACATTTTCAGAAAAACAATGTTTCTCGATTGTTTTTTTTATTAGCCTTTTATTTTCAAGGGATGTGAAGCGCGCCCATCGTGTTGTCCAACAGCTGAACGCCGGCTCCTGTTTTATCAACAACTACAACATCACACCCGTAGAGGTGCCGTTTGGAGGCTATAAAATGTCAGGTATGGGCTGGCTCCTTTTTTAAAATTCCAGATTAAATGTCACCCACACGACCGTCAGCAGTTTTTCAAACAGACCCCGACAATCTGACAATCCGACACTGCCCTTCATATCTGTTCTAACCGGACCCGTTTTACCATCTTGGTTCTAACAGCTCGCAGTGAGTAAAGCGGGACCTTATTTGTCCCCCTCACTTTGACCAGGTATAGGGCGGGAGAACGGACAGGTCACAATTGAGCACTACACCCAGCTGAAGACCGTGTTTGTGGAGATGGGGGACGTGGACAGCCTCTTCTAGAGCTCCCAGCCGGAGGAGGCGGCGGCAGCCGTGACTCCGCGCCAGAGACCGAAAAGGGTGGTTTTGACCCGATCACCTCTGCCTCCGCTCGGGGACAAACTATGATCGTCACTGACAAGCAAATGAAGGAGAACTGAAGATGCCACAGCTTAAAACAAACGGTGGTAATATCAGCTCGTGTTCGGGGGAGAAAAAATAATTCTGAGCCAGACTGATCGAATTAATCATTCTAGTTTATTTTTACTGAAAAGGGATGGACTTTAGTTTATGTATGTGAAAGCCTCATGTTGATTCTTGACTTTAAACAGATTTTACAGATTTCTGCAACAAAAAACAGGAGAGGAAACAATCTCACTGGCGTTATGAACCTTTTGTTACACGTGAAATGCTAACAAATGAAGCACAGGCTAAATTTACGTCCACCTCTCGGTTTAGAGCCAACGTCTGTCTGGTGGATTGTCTTATACATAAACAAGACATGTAAAAAAAAAAAAAAAGTTATCATGAACCTTTAAACAAGTTAAAACAAATGCCAGGTTTAAATCGTCTGGGAGTTTTTGTGCTCTTCTCATCGTCTAAATTCTTCTTTTCTTCCTCGTCAGATTTTTGTCAGCTGCTTTTCTCTGAGAAAAGCAACAAAAAGAGAGAGAGTAATCACCAATCGGGGTGAAAGCTGTTTCTAGAGACTATAATCCGGCCAGTAGGACAAGTGTACTGTACCTTTGCCAGTGGTTTTTTGGGTTTCTTGAACTGTGCAGACTCTGTTAGAAAAAAAGTTGGCAGCATCAGCCCTAACACTTGTTAATCTGAACAGTTTAGTTAACAGCAGCTCGCGTACCCACCATCCTCAGAGGGAAAGTCATCTTCTGCACACGTTTTCCTCGAGGGTTTCTGTAATACATTATTCATTGTGGCTGGCTCACAAGAAAGACTCCCGACACAGAGACAGAATAAGCTAAACCAAGAGAATTGTAATCACTACTCAGTGGACGTGGACCCACCTCCATCGTTTCTGGAGAAACCTGCCTACTCTCCCTCACGTAGTCCCCTTGCTGAAGTTTCTCCACCTGGCCCTGTTCCACGGACACTTTGACTCGCAGCGAGTGGTAGGCCGTGTGCACCTCGCCCACCTTGAAGTGCACTGGCAAACCCTCAAACCACAGGCGGTCGTACACGCCCTCCTTAAAGCCCGGTGGCTGGTAGTCGGCAGGGGTGACTGTGAAACCAGAGCGGGGGAAAAAGAATTACATTAAGAAAGCCCCAACCACTTCAGAGAGTGGTGAAAGGGGGGGGGGGGGGGGGTCATACCGCCGTCGTAGTAGTAAAGCTTCATGGTGAGGTACACATTGCTGGGGAGAGTGTCCAGGTTCTGCATGAGCAGGAAGAGCTTCCTTATGAGCAGCACAGACGCCTTCTTGGTGTCTTCGAGTGTCACCTGGAGCTTCATATTGTTGTTCCTGTGGCCACACCACAAACACCAGGTAACGGGCTGCCTAAAATGTTTGTGAGAAATGCTAATGCCATCTATCCAAACCTGAGTATGTCCATCTCCGGTCCATTTTCAGTGTATCTGAAATTGAACTGATAGGACTCTATGATGCGCTGAAATGTGAGAAAAATAAAAACTGGTCTTTCAAAATTATCTTTAAGCTCAATGGAAACAGAATCATCAGTTTCTAAACAGACACTTACATTAGGGTTTTCTGGATTGGTGTAAACCTAGAATGAAAAGACAGCATTTCTTCTCATAGATAAAGCTCTTTAAGTGTGTATGTTTGGTATTTGTTTTTAATGAAGCTGTTCTGATTAGATCTACGTACCCCAATGCATATAATGTGGAGCTGTAAAAAAAAAAAAAAAAAAGGACATATGATGATAATGTTTAAATCTGAACAGGTCGGGACGTAATCCACTTACATACTGCTTCTCCAATGCATCAAAGCAGCCCATCATCCTTGAATAATCAGACAAAAACCTAAATTAATAAATCAGTTTGACACAATTCCCAACGAGCTGACGGTTATGGCAGATTATTCTTGTTTCTCTACACAGAGAAGGTTCAAACGGACCATTTCACAACTTTGTTGGCACCAGGGGTGTTGCAGTTTTCACGTAGAACTTTGATGCACAAATCTGGGAAATAAAAACAGGAAGAAAAAAATGATTTTATTCTAAAGGCGTGACACTTTGGTGGCTTTCAGTGCTCTGCTCACCTTCCAGGTATCTGGATCTGTAGGCAAACTCCGGGAAAATTCCTCTGAGATAAGTGATGGAAGACACAGCCACAGCCATCATCCTCTTGACAAAGACTAGAGACTCCTGCTTCGTATTGAGATCATTCAGGAATAACCCTGTCCACTTTTAAAAAGCAGAACAAACGTACAGAATAAGCTCCGAGCCGTGGAACCGTCAATTGCATGTATAACCTCTTTGGCCACACGATGTCACAATTGGCTAAGTTAAATGTCCTCTAGCACAAGTCGGGGAGAAAAAAAAAATAAAGATGTGTTTCTATATTAAATGCTTTATATGTTAAAGGTTACAGCCTTTATGTGGTGTTTCAAACCTCTGCAGTTTCTTCTTTGCTCTTCCTGATGCACATTTTCGCCGCGGCCATTTTTCCTCGTTCTTTTAGCCAAGTCTTTGCTAGCTAAGTGCTCCCAACGCTAACGATTCAATTATCTAACGCGGTGAACAACCATAAATATTCAATCCGGCTCTTCCCGTTAAATTAATTCAATTTGCAACAACTCTTTTTACATCTGCCTATTTTTCACAGTAGTCTCAGAGTGGTCTCCGAGGCCGGATTCAGTTGCGAGCAAGTCAGGAAAAGTTCTGTTATTAACGACTTATGGAGGACCTTTAAATTTTTCCCGCTCAAAATAGAAACAAAGGTACCACTTAGGTACCATACAACAAGGGGATGTGTACATATAGCAATAAACAACGAAACTATATTTTCTTAGTGTACTCAGTTACAAGTGGCATTTGTTGTTATTGGGTTGTATAAAAATTAAAGTGAAGATCATTTAAATTAGATACAATAAAGTGGGCTGCCACCTATTTAGCACATAAACATTAAGGATTGTTTTGTGTTGGTTTTTTAGTTTGAATATTTCAATACCCACACACAATTTGGTAAAAAAAATCATTTGAGATTAATCAAATTATCATTTTCACCTGGGTTAGAATTGGCTATTTGTTGACTTTACAGTTGTACTTTTCCCACTGAATTAATGGAGCTAACTGTTTTCTACACTTCTTTTCTGGTTGTACTCTCGTTCCTCCTCAATTTCCGTTGCAATAGATAGGTTCTTCAAGGACAACACTTGCATACATGTATGAAAAAGATAACTGTCCCTCGCGACCGGAAATCAAGGCTCTTTGTGATTGCGATCTTCTTGGAGCTCTGCCAGTCTGAGCCTAGCGCCGCATTACTTTCCCTTTGACCTGAACAAATGACACAGCTGTGAACTGATCATTTCATTTCTAAAGCAATAGCTGCAGTTATTTCATATGTGGACATATCCTAGTATCCTTTGGTTGACCCTATGATGTAGCCTATTAAGGTAACAAAGTGCATCGATGTAAGCCGATTTACCATTTAACCAAATGAATACATGTAATGGAAAAAAAAGTATCCGCTCTACTTGATACCATGACAACTGGACCAAATGAGAAATAACATCTCTAAGCATAGTTATTTTTAAAGTCTTTATTTAAATGAAATAACTTTTAACTGTAAAAAAGAAGGGGAAAAAAGCATAAAACCAAATGCGTGGTCTGGATTCAGTCCAGTGAAAGTTTTTATAAGGTCCCTTGCATGTAACGACAGTGAGGAATGACACGATAGACCAAACAGATATTTATCTCTGTCTAAAAATAAAAATCACAATTCCACAGCATAATTACACATTTTGGTCTACATGCACTGTTCACTCTACCCAGAAACATCTTAAAAAGCACAGTCACTATGAAAACCTCCTAACCAGACACAGCAGCAGACTATAAGATAAGAAATGTAATCACAAAGTGAAATCTGCTACAGCAGGCTGCAAATGATGGCCTTGAGTTTATTACTGTTTGGAGAAGAAGTCTTTGCTTTTTTGGACGTCTGGCTTGATGGTGTCACTTCCTGGTTTCCAGCCGGCTGGGCAGACTGAAAAGATAAGCCTGTAATGAGTCCTGGCCGGCAGATGAGATGGTACAGTTGTTCTATGATTTAAAGCTGTCACTGCTTGAGGTATGAAGCTTGAATATTTATCAGAGACATATGTGAAAATTTGCACGAGCCAAGCCAAACTAAATGTGTACCCTTAAACATCATGGCAAAGTTTATGTGCGATCAACATGCAGTATCTTTTTCAGAATACTAGTCTGTTTCCATTTAAGTTAGTAATTAGAAACATCCATCCATGACTTTATGGGCCCATTTAGTTCAGTTCAGGGTGTTACAGAAGGCATTGGTTTTAATGGTGGCGGTAAGTTACCTTCTCCGTGTTTGTCGGTGAACTGAAAAGCTTGAACCAAACGCAGAGTCTCCTCAACCGAACGTCCAACCGGGAGGTCATTGATGGTGATCTGTCTCAGGATGCCCTTGTCATCAATGATGAACAGACCCCTAGAACCGAAAAGGGAGCAGGTCAGTGTGGATGGCTTCAACCATCTTTATGCTGGAGCCCCAGATGCATTAGGGCTGGCCTCACACTGTTAGCTAGAGCTGCGACCACAGGGCCCACACAGGCTTCATGGTCAAGCCTATTGTCCCCCACATGAGGCAAGAATTCGGATATCTGTGCTTACCAAGTCATATTCACCTCATATGGACACATGGGCATTAAACATCCATCACATTTTTTAAGGCCACACGTTACCATTCAGCCTTCAGTTTTTGAGTCAGATCGAGGATGGATTTGTCCTAATTAGGGCCATTATCAGAGGCGTGCTGTGTTAATAACAACGGGTTGGTGAAAGTACACCAAGCCTCACAGAGCAGGTCAACTAAGCACACACATTGAGGACAAATGTCCTCAGTGTGAGGCTGGAACAACCACTGACTGCATCGTGTTGATATTTTCGCTTCCCAATTTGCATTGAAAAAAAAGGAATGCATGCAGAATAAAAACATTTCTGAAAAAAATCAGTGAAAAAAAAGGAAGTACAATATGCACAATGGGGAAGTATTCTTTAAAAAGTCATTTTAATGAACTTTTATGGTGCAATCAAAATTTTAAAAAAACATTTTACGCAAAATAAATGTATCGATATAATCTGAAGGAAAAGAATATTGAAAATTAACACTAATAAATGACAGAGAAAGAAATATACATACAGAGTGTCATAGGATTAGATAAATGGCGTTCACATTCAATTAGTTTTGCATCAATTATTTTTCTCATTTGAATTTTACCATCATTTATCATATATTTTTCCCCCAACATTCATGCCACTTCAGTCCTCAACAAAGATCCACTCACCTGTAAGCGATACCTTCGTCTTCCTTCAGGACTCCATAATCCGTGGAGATGGTGCGGCGCGTGTCGGACACCAGCGGGATCTTCATGGCACCCAGACCGCCCTGTTTACGGGGCGTGTTGGTCCTGAGGGAACATACGAGGGGAAAAGAAACAAACGTGAGCGCTGCGGTCCACTGAACGCACGGCGTCCCTGTGGGTGTCCAAATCCGTCCTCTGTGTTTGTACCATGCAAAGTGGGAGAAGTGAGAGTCCACGGAGGCGGCGATGACCTCGCAGCCAATCTTCCTAAATTCCTCAGCGGCGTCGCTGAAAGCGATGATCTCCGTGGGACACACAAAGGTAAAGTCCAGCGGATAGAAGAAAAAGACCACATACTTTCCTGCACAGATGGATTAAAGAAAACAAAACAATATTTAACAACAGGGTCTTTTAGTGGGCTGATGTCGCATCAAACAGAAACAGGTTGATTATCACCTCTGTAGTCGGACATCTTCAGGTCCTTGAACTCTCCATCCGGCATCACCGCTTTGGCTGTGAAGTCTGGGGCCAGCTTTCCGATCTGCGCTTTGCCTGCAGCCATCTTCAGTTAAGACTGAAATGCAAAGGAAAAGAGCAGAGTGTGAAACGAAGCATCTTCTCAGTATCAAGGCGGTGAACTGTTTCTGTGTGAAACCTTTGGCTGCATTAGAAAAAAAACTAAAAATACAGTAGTGGAAAACTTCCTCATTCGCATGACGCGTGAAATCATGTCTAATCTAAACTAACCAAGGTAAGTCTGATTCTGATCCTGTGGAAGTACAATAATGATTTTATTTAGTGGGGTTAGCAAACAGAATAATTATTTGATCAAAACAAAAAAAGGAAACGTATTACAAAATCCCATTAAACCTTTTAAATTTTACACAGTAGACCTTCAAAATCCCTTAGTGTCCATTTCCTTGTCTGTCAACTGTGAAATTAACTTGCAAATATGTTCAAATCACCTGATTTATTTCTGTATTTGTTACGGCTACGTGACCGACCTCTTCAACAATAATGTATTCATTTAGCGCGGGTGTGTATTTTCTCTATACTGGGTTATAACACACCGGCCGCTGCTTTGGAGCCAACGCAGGGGTGCACGCCTTTCCCCAAAAACACTTCGACAAAATGATGTCGCATGCCCATAGTCCAGACAACTTGAGTTACAGCCACATATAAAATGAAATACTGTAATCTGTCTTCAAATATTCGATTCTAGTAGGTTTAGACCGGGGCCCCTAAGTCTGAGGGCCACATCGTAATGAAGTTGACTTAATATTGGTAACGGTTACAGGGCTGAAGTTGATATGATGATGAGGTGTAGATATAAAAGCTTTCCCTGTTGTGGAAATGTTATGTGATTTTGTGAGATAAAATAAAATTATCATAATCATTCAAAGGGAAAAGCCAAAAGGTGAAGTGCATAAAATTGGAATATAAATCTTAAGAGGGGTAAATGATGTGTAATCTGAACGCACTGGTGTGAAGAACACACGTTAAGAGGAGAGCTGAGGTGATAAATAAACACAAAACCCACTGATATGCTGTAATAAAGCGCCATGTTACAGCCAGCAAACAGCTCAATAAAGCAGAGCTACACTTCAAAAGCCACAAAGCGTTTCCACTTCTCCCTCGATCCCTCAGGTGTTTCCGCACCAGACATTTCAGCTGCTTTTCAAAGCTTCTTTCTTCCTATAAACTACCGCTACAATTTAAGCAATTTCGCCATCTAAACTCGCGTCAATTACACCTTTTTTGTTTGTTTTGGGCACAGTATTTTTACAAGCTTAAGTGAAAGATGTCGAAAGGACTTCGAAGTATTCCGAGCATGACTCGTCTTTGTCAGTGTGAAATGAAACTACCCTAAAACACATTTGCCTATATGTCTAACGTTAACATACTTTGGTTATACAAATGGGCGCCGTAATAACTTTGAAAGAAGGAAAAGAAAGAAAAAAAACTTGTTGAACAGAAAATTCTGCCTTAAGTCCACAAAGGAAAAAGTATTTAAAAAGAAGGCAATTAAAAGCTTTGAAAGTTTAAAAAGAATTTCACATGCAATACAGATGTAGAGCTGCTTAATTGGACGGATTTTACGACACATACCTCTGTCCGTACCACACCAGGAACCAGCGAGCGCACACGGGATGACAAGCTCGACAAGGGAACTATATAGTACAGCTCACATCTCGCGATAGGGCTGAGCAAAACGTGAACACAGCCCACTCCAGGTCAACCCTCATATCTTAATCACGTACTATGCAGCATGACTTTGCAGTTTTTTTTAATCACCTTTACGGGAACGCAAATACTATTGTGAAACTAAAAATCTGGAGTTCCAGGATGTTGAGGAAGACGGAAGAAACCGTCAAGGAACTATTATTCAGATTTAACATATGAAGTAACCTCTTTGTTCCCTGGGAAGGAAGTTTGACCCATTTTTCTTATCCATGCTTGGAAGGCACTGCATTTTTAATATGAAATGCCAGAAGGGCTACTTTTAGTGGTTTTCTGTACCCCTGTGCTCCGATCATGTTTGGTTGCAAAGTCATGAGGTCCTCTCACATGACTCAATCCCTTCCAAGGTCTGTCATTATGAACAAGCATTAAATTAAACCATCAATCTTATAATCAGAAGAAACCACCAGAACCCCATCACCCAATTATAATGTCTTAAACTCTAAAGTTAGTATTTTTGTTGCAGAATTGAGAATTTTAGCTGTACAGAATTTGATTTATTTGTAGGTTAGGGCACCATTGTCCAAAAGATTTTTCTGTGGAACTTCCCAGACTTTACTAAAGCATGTGGTTGCAAAATCCTGTGCTTATTCAGAGGGCTGGAGAAGGCATTTTTCTTTTTCATTTCCTCCTCTGTGTATTTAATGACAAGCCAGAGGAGCAGCACATATTGTTTATTCAGTTTCATACTGACTGTAGGTTCCAACTGCCAGTGGAAAAAGATTACATTTTGTTTTTGTACTTTGTTCTTTAAAAAATGCAAATAAAGAAAACAAAATAACATAATTGAGGATGAATATTATTGTAAGTTAAACCTAATCTTTTGTGGCAAAGGTATTCTCTTAAACAAGAGTGATATGTTTTTAAAAGCAATTCAAATTTTTTCTAATTAAAAGGTCTCAATGGACAACATAGAAGATTTGAAACGCAGTGATTCAATTAGCTAAAAAAGACACGAACAAAGTCAAACAGCTGGAAAATAGCTTGCAAGCTTCTTTTCTAGAAAGGTTTGGTCATTTCGTTAAATGCCACAGAAGGGGACATGTGTGATCTGTAAAACAAAATACCCAACATATATTGAAATACAAGTCAGTTGTCAGATTGTACAACAAAATGGAAGATGATTCCAATCAGCAGATTAATTGGGGATTGGTAGGGGTGTCCCAATTGGGTATAAGCATCCATCATAAAATTGCAACAAACTATCCAAAGAATCAGTGCATAAAGGCCAAGGACACAGATCAGGGTTGGAAACCTCAGACCCTTGATCTCTTGGGCATAATTTATAGTCTAAACTCATCATGTTTCACAATCAAACCTCAAGTTTAGCTTTGAAATTCATGTATTTGTTTATTTCTTATTTGAAAATGCTAACCCCCCGCTATGAAAACACGCTTTTCCCTGCAATATTCATATTTCTACAGAGTATTATTTAGAAACAAAAGCATTCAAATACCATAAGGAACATTTCAGTAACAAAAAAATCAAGCATCAAAATGAAGATTTGTAATCTCAATTCATACAATGACTAATGAGGCGCACATTATCCAAGCATTACTCACATAGACTGCTTCACCTCGGTGAATGAATAACCTCCTTTGTCAGCTCTAAGTGCATCAACTTTGACCCCTCGTTCTTTCTCTTTATCTTCATACATGACAGTGAAACTCTACATTTTGTGAAAGTATTTAGTCTTAATGTGATGAAGAACCCTTTATTCCTCAACGCCAGATCAACCAATTCATGTGGCCGTCCAGACGTTGAGTACAACTTACTGATCTTACAGCTTATCTCGATGTTTAGTTGCGTTTCATAGTCAGCTACATAATTTGAAGTCAAACTCTGATGTGTTATTATATCTGTATTTTACACAGAACAAACCCAGCTAAACATTATGGAGACCCCAAAACATGAATCTATTGTGCTGAGTGGCTTCTCTGATTCATACCAGATCTTGACATATTGGTCGTCTCAATTCTTGATGTTAAAGCAGAAGAAAAATCAGCATCACTGAATAGATGATGCACTACAGCCTCACAGCGTTTTTCGGAAAATGGGCGTTGGGCCAGTCCGTACTCCCCAGACGGACATGGGCTGCTGCCTACTGAAACAGCCACCTCACGCTGGTTCTGTCCACTGCTGTCATGGAGCAAGTGTCTCTGCATGCTGTTGCCATAGCATTGCATCAAGGGCCAGATAAGAGGGGATACACACAATAACGTCCTTTTAGAAGCACCGTGCCGGGCTGCTGATCAAACATTTTCCCCGTGTTCATCTCCTGTCTCACAATACCCCCATAATTAGTGCGTGTGCTCCAGGACCGCTCCCAAAGCAGCCGGCTGTTTGAAGGGCACTTGTATCACCATCATCCTGGTTTCATTCAGCCCCCCCGAGAACAACAAAACAGCTGTGATGTCACCGATGTAACGGGTTATTGGAGAAGAGTTAATATAGTGGCGTTTTGCATCCAGGATTAAAACGAAATGAAACATATTTCTGCTTCAATTCAAAACTGCCAGGAGCAGTAGATGTAGAGACAGCTTAGATTTAGACCTAATTTTTGAATTTTTCATGAAACCAAATACCAGTCATACATTACAAAACCTGTCGGTTACCATTGATTTATTGATATTTACATGTAAACCGTCACGGGGGCCCAGACAGTATCAAACTAACTCTGGAATCAAAAGAAAAATTAATCTGTCCAAGGAAGACTAAATCTACCTGCTAGCATAAAATTATAAATATTAACTCACTTTTATATTGTCTATACATATTCACTTAAGAGGCAGAGTAAGCATATGTACAAATAAAATGGTGTTTGTTTGAAGTAAATGTCCATGAAGTGTTTCCTCTTTAATAAAAAATAAACTTGTAATCTGTCCAAACACACACTTGTGTGCAGTTTAGGAATACGTCTGATAAAGTCGTAACTTTAATGAGGATGTTGAACAGGGAGAGGCTGATTGAGTGGCAGGTTGAAACTTGTCTTGACAAGACATTGACACGGGAGTCAGCAGGGGGCAGCTCACAGGAGAGCCGTCAATCACAGCAGGACACGAGAGCAGCAAGCAGTGCACAAACAAGCACAGGCAAGGAGTAAGACACAGAACATTTAATGTGAGCGTGTGTGTCCGGTCATATGAAAAAAAGGATATTTTTCTAAAAGCTTTTTTAAAAAGTACTGGTGTGTAGAGGACATAATTTAGTATATACTTTCTTATTTCCCCAAATGCTATTTTGCCAGTTCTCGTGAGCAAACAGATAATAGAACATGTCCTAGGAGGCCATCAATGGAAACCATTTATGTACCAGTTTTTAGTCGTAGAGTGGGAATGTGGTCATTTACTTGAAGCTCTCAAAGTGCTGTAGTTGTAAAACCGGCCATATCTGTCACCCCTGTGGGGTAATAGCTAGTGTGACCTGTTTGTACTGTTTGATTTTCTGCTAAACAATGAACTGCAAACTCAAGTTTTTTGGTCTGCCGTTATATTTGATCTGTTATGATGTTTTATGGACTATTACTATTAACATGTTTCTATACTATGATGTTATTTTATGTCTTTATTATGTTCTCATTTCTTCCTGTCAACCTGCCCAGGGAATGCAGGTGGCACAATGCACGTACTGTTGTTGTGCAGAATTGATGATTTTATTGTGCATTGTTCCTGTTTTAAAAATGTCTAAAAATTTAATACAATTATTGTAACAATCTGATATTTGTGGATAACTTGCTGGGACGTTGACTCTTGGCAACTGTCTTCAGTGTTTTCCACTTGTGAATAACATTTTTCACTATATGATGGACACCTATTTGTCTTTCCCCTCAGATAGATAGATAGATAGATAGATAGATAGATAGATAGATAGATAGATAGATAGATAGATAGATAGATAGATAGATAGATAGATA